GCATCTAATGAGGATCGAATTCACTTTTCAGTAGTAACGGATCTAGCAAGCCAAGCTTGCTAACCATTACACCACGCCGAGGTGCCCCATCGACCTCACCTCGTATGGTGCAATGAAGAGATGCCGAGTTGAAATCCTCAAAATCGAAAACCACCCACTAGCTAAAATAAGAAAACAGATACTACGCTTTGATCTCAGCAGAAAGGCCTCAAATGTATTTTCTTGTCGCCCAACACTAGTAGGATGTAATTTTTTATTTATTTTCATTTTAATGTGGGGAACCTGACCGCGTACACCCAGACCAGGTTAAAAAAAATAGCCCATCAACCGGCAACCGTTTGTTGCTCTGGCATCGGTATTACTACCGATCTCCCCTATTTAGCGCAATGAGAAAAGTACTGCCGCAGAGCGAAACCGAACACCTCCCAATTATATCTTCAGTTCGCTATGCTCGCAGACAGAGACAACTGAGAGATGAAATGTAGTTTAATCCGCCCGAGGTCAGATACAACACTTTGATACCAGCGAAAAAGCAGAGAAGCTTCGTTTCATTCACGATGCTTTCGCCATTACTAATTATAAATCTTCATTGAGTATGTGATAGGTATAGGCTTGGATGATATTTTTTTTGTTTTTTGCAATACCACTTATGACAAAACCACGAAACCTACAACTTGATCTATTGTTGACGTATGACTAAACTCTTCTTAGTCTATTGTTAACTTTAATAGGATTCATATTTCTCCAGGTACACTTCCACTTACCACCATAGCTATGACGATGGCCAGGCCTCATCCTTCTCTGGGAAGACCTATTATTCCTTTGTTCACTCTTCTTTCTTTCACTTCTCTTTGTTCTTGTACCAGGACTTGTATTCTGATAGCCAGCGTTTTCATTTGGCTCACAACCAATGTATCGTTAAATATGTTCCCGCGTTCCACACCCACGCATACCATTCTCCAACACTAATTCGGGTAATTCAGTAATTCGTGTCCAAGACAGAGTGCCAAATTTTTCCGTTAGCGCTATGAATATATATATATATATATATATATATGTTTGTGTGTGGATGAATGTCATTTGTATTCAAAGAGTTCTTTATCCTCCTATATGGTAGTGAATGAGGGACATTTTCTTAACATGAAAGGAGAGGCTTGAAGCAACAGAGATGCGTTTCTGTAGATGGATACTGAGAATACTATGGTCGGAGCATGTAAGAAACGAGAATGGAAACGAAAAGAAAACACTTACGATCAGAGACAGTTGAAATTTCTGGTTCACACAATGGGGAAAGTGGGCTAAGAGAATTTAACAGTCACAAGACATACTAAAGGCAAAAATGACAAAGGAAATCATCGAGTAATCTGCCTAACGAGTTAGTGTAAATAGAGGACAGAGTGAGAACTGGTAGGGAGAATAGTCAGAGGGAAACATTGCTTAGAACTAGAAAGGATAGAAACTTGTGGAATGTTATGATCACCCACGTCCGGAAGGTACATAATGTAGTGATTTTCTTAGCTCAGCTTATATGTGCCAAAGGCTGAAAGTATGGGGGCACCCTGTGAGGATCGAACTCACAACTCAGTCATAACTGCTCTAGCAAGACAGACTTTCTACAATTACACTACGTCGAAATGCTGACAGTGATTTTCCAAGCGTAACTTAGATGTGGCACAAGGCCGAAAGTATGGGGGCACCCAGCGAGGATCAAATTCACTATTCATTCGTATTTCTTCTAGAGAGACAAGCTTGCTGACAATTACACCGCCTCGCGGTTCCCAAAGGTACATAATATAAATAGATAATTATTTTATTTATATTATTGTCCCCATCTTTCTTATCACAATGTTTCAGCGATTATGGCCTACAGCCTTCCTCATGTATGTTGACCCGCGTAACCAACAGTGAATTTCGAACTGAACACTTTATTTAATTTACGGGGTTCGACTGTTCTCATTCCACAGCCTATGTCTAGGGATATCTCGTCTTATTTAGTACTCAGGTATAGCTTGTCCTTTTTCTACTGTAGCCGAGTAAACACCACCCGAACAAGGGATTGAACTCACATTTACAATGTCAACAAATTCACCCACCAACGCTTTAATTCATTAGGCTATGTACTGTAAGAAATATCTAGTTGCTTTCACTGAAGATCAAATGACAGCAAGTCTCTTTAGTACGACAATATTCAGTTTTCCAGCTGATTTTGGTAATGCTAATGTCAACATGCTTTCGATTTTATCCCGGATTTCAAACCTTTTAACATGGCTCTTCAGAACTGTTCCAAGCTTACCATTCAGGGCGTGGGGGGGCGATCATGGTCCTCCGCAGCTCTAAGCAATCTATTACTATCCTTCTCACCCACCACTACCACCCATTTACACAAACTCGTTCTGTAGATTAAATACTCGTTTATGTTACAGTGATTGCCTGATCTGCTGGAACAGTGACATCTGCTAATATGTTTTCTTATCTTGGTTGACAATAACTAGATTTAAACTTTCCACCTGAATTGGGCGATCCCTTTTGGAGTTCCGATTTCTGTTAAAGTTTACTTTAATCTGTAGAAGGTTATCAATTTTTGTAGAGACATAACAAATAAAATCGAAGATCAATCACCTGTACAGTTTTAAGAAATGTATTTATATTTTAAAATGTTCATAAACAGTGATATAGTTACAAAAATAGAAATAAGACTTAAAATATCGTCACCCCTTGGATGATCCAAATGTCAAGTAGCTTTTTTGTTTGTATTGACCGATTAGTTTTCAATCCTTTGCAGATCATCTAAAGCCAGATAATATTTTTAGATTTTAAGAGTTTTTGAAAGATAACGGTTTAGTAATACAAGCCTCACTAATTAACCCATATGTGGGCGGAAGAAGTGGCTTCATACCTTTCCCAAGGATATTTGCGCGTAAGTAAATTTGACGAACTCAATGGAAATTGGAACTCAGCTCTCCGATTAAAAATTCTGAACCATTATCCATTACACCATCTTGTATTCTGATGTGGTCACTCAACAAAGTACTGAAAAGGTTCGTCGTTGCTTAACTTCAGAGATCAGCTGTTTCAACGTGATGTGGCTGTATCGGTGTGTGTTAAAATGGTCCCTTTTGTATATGTAAATTTGTAATATGTAATACGCGAGATTATGTTTAAATTGGAAGCATGTATGTGTATCAGCAGTAGTAGTAGCAGTATAGCAATAAGTAAATTCGGCTGAAGATAATACAAATTGTGGAATTTGTATTTTAATCATATCATTATTGTTGATAAAATAAGAGAAAATATCAGATTTTTGTATAAGAACCACAATGTCGAAAATGAATAATCATCAAAGGTTGCGAAACGTATGAAATTTTTACCGAAGGCTGGAAAGGAAAGCAAAAATTAGTAAGCGAAAATTATAGAAAATAATACGCTCCAAAATGGGCCTAAAATTGAGAATTTCTTCTAATTTCTCATGGAATTGTTTTTTTTGTTTTGTTTTTTGTTGTTTTTTACTTAACAATTCAAGAAGAAAAAGTCATTAAGATGATGCAATGATCTGATAATTCAATTTCTCCAAAGAAGATCGTCAAAAAATGTAACTTTTTTTTTTTTTTTTTTTAGGCGCTGCCATTCATTAAAAAACAATAGTAAAACTAACAATTCGAATTTCTTTCGAGGAGGAACGATGGAGTAATTGATAGCGGCTCAGATTGAGAAATCGGAAAACCGAGTTCGAATTCCAGTCGAATCCATTAATGCTAATAAATGGCATTGGGAAAGGTATGAATCCTCTTTTTCTCAACCTCAGCTATAGGTAAATAGCAGTGGGGTGGGGGAGAACCTTGGATGGCAACTGATCTACCGCAGAAAGAAATGGGAAAGAAAATCTGCCTCGCCAGTCATGTATCGAAAGATACATGATCGCTTAAGCGTGTATCACGCATGGCACATAACTGAATGAATGATGTCTCTCGACCTTTTTCAAACACAAAAAAAAAAGAATTTCATTTCTGCAGGAAAAAAAACTAAAGGTTTGGTACAAATCTTCACCTGAAAAACTTGATTTTTTGCACACACACACACACATATATATATATATATATATATATATACACACACGTTAAAATACTAGTTGTTTGCATCGTCCCCAGGATTAACTGTTGTATCTATATCTGCCGATGACGATATTCTTTCCCTATATTACCCTAAATTTCCTTTAAGAGAACACTTACGGGCCACCATACAGTCAGTTAAGCACCATACGTGATACACGCTTGGCAGATCATGTATCTTTCGATAGATGACTGACGAGGCAGATTTTTTTCCGCTGTAGGTTTTCATTTCTTTTTGTGGTAGACTGGTAGCCAACCAAGGCTAATGAACTCTTTCAGCTATGGGTTGAATAGCAGGAGAGACAGAGTTGTATTCATACCTTTCCCAAGGTTATTTGTGCGTAGGTGAACCCAACGAACTTGACTGGAATTCAAACTCGGCACTCCGAGCAGATATCCATTATACCACAACGCACATCCATGGGAGGAGGGTGACTTCCATTAAATTGATTTAATTCTCACTTCAAGTGTCCTTTGCATAACAAAGTCTATCTCACCTCGTTTAATATTCAACTTTTTCCGATGACGTGACCGATGCTAATACTGTGACACTTGTGACTCAATTAGACCCTATCAAATATATATTTACGTATATTAGACGAAGACGAATAATAATAATAAGACGACGACAAAGACGACGAATAAGAATAATAATAAAAAGGAGAGGACGAAGTATTACTCTTTGTTTCTACTGAAATTTTCCTGTTTCTTAATACATTACTTAGCATTTGGAAGGCATCTTTCTACTCCAGCGACCCTTCGGACTTCAGTGTCGCGTTTTCCGTCCTCTGTTAAAACACTTCATAGATATTTAAATTTTTGTACTTATTTGATATTGGTAGTTCATAAATAGACAACGTTAATTGATTACATGGGAATATTTTTCATTAAATAATGAGCCTTTTTTCTATCAATCTTTCTGTCTTTTACGATGATTTTTTTTGTCTCTTTCTTTCGCAAAATGTATGCCAACATAATTGTATAGGGATTCCTTTTTTGGCCAAAATTGCATTGAATTAATAAAACTGATTGACAACACAATATGAAAATTCGGCTTTAGTAAAAAATAATTAAATAAATAAAATAAACAAGTGATCAGCCAAAGGGAATGTGTTTTTGTTTTTTTTTTGTTTCGTTTTTTTTTGTTTTTTGTTTTTTTTTTCTTCGAACGGGGAATTTCAACATTCCTCTACTTTCAAAATACTAAAGACTGGACACACAGGATGTTTTTTAAAAATAAAAAATAAAAAACGCTAGAATGTTTTTAGCACAGATCTTATTCGGTTTTTTTTTTTTACTTTAATGATTACATAATAATTACAGAGAGTTACATCAAACTTTAGCGATCAGAGGAAAAATAAAATGAAAAATTGATTATGCTTGTTCGATTAGATCGATTCGTTTTTACCCATTGCAGCTTATTTAAAACCAAAAAATATTTTTAAATTTTAAGAAATTTCGTTTTGCGATAATAATGGTTTAGAGATACAAGTCTTAATAATTAACCCGTAGCTTGGGGGTAGAAGAAATGGATTCAAACTTTTCCCAAGGGTATTTGCGCGTCAGTGAATATAACGAACACAACTGGAATTGAAAGTCTACTCTCCGATTAACAATTCTGAGCCATTATCCATTACACCACCCGCACATCCAAGCCTACAGTACTTGGTATTCCCAAGCAATTCACTCATCTCGGTTCTATCCAGACTCGACGTTGCTAAACTTCAATGTATATCAAATCCAAGTGCCATCCATATATACTCGTCTATAAGACGATGTTTTTTAATATTTAAAAAAAAAAAAAAAAAAAAAAAAATATTTTCAAACGTTATATTGTTAGATGATGTCTACATGAATTTATTGGATTTCTGAGTTTCAGTTATCATTATCTCAGAAGTCGCTCTACCATGGAAATAAATATCTTGAGAAATTATCTAGAGAAATAATATCACCATTACAAAACCCGACAAATCCATAAAAATTATAAGAAAGCATTTTGGTGTCAACATATATAATGTTAATCAGTTCAAAATCTGTACATAATAAAAAAAAAAAAGGCGAAGAGCAATGCTAAGATTAAAAAAAGAACCATTTACTAGCTTTTAAACAATAGAAATTTGAAATATGTAACAATATTGTAAGTATTTTGTGTATTGAACTCACACTCTTTGGGTCCTGTCACTGGATCTAACCAACGACTTTATCCACTGTGCCACGTGTCCTTGAGGATCCATAGTTTGTTTTTCACATTGACCCGGTTAAAGCAGTCGAGAACTTTCAGAGGGAAATTAACAGGAGATAACTGATAACTAACATCCATCAAACATGGCACGTGGAACTAGAACAGTCTCCTCCGGTGAGCGAAATAAAGGGTTCAGTTCGACATTCCAACCACCTGAAGAAGGCTGGAGCGTACAACGGCCGAAACGTTGTGATAAATATGGCGACAAAGATGAGGACAATAGTCCGAATAATATAAATAATGTACATAATACCTCATTCCAGAAATATAGACAAATCAAATATTGTTAATTAAAAATTTATTTTTATTTCTTTCATCTTATCTCTGTTGCTTTTTATTGCAACTTCCAACAAGTACATAAAATTTATATAATATTACTACTAATACTACGGGTGAATGTACACAAAGCTAACATCGGGAAAATGAAGAATAAAAGCGATTAAGTTGGATTTGAGCTTCTGTAACCGATGGTAGCCTAATTTGTAACTCCGATTTCCCGGACAGACAGGATTCTGGAGAAAAATAAAATGATAATTTGAATTGCGTCGGAAGGTTTATTCATTTTGGACCCCACCCCCTTAATAATGATCGTAGCATGATGATCTGAGAGTTATGATAAAAACAATAGAAATTAATATAAAAATATCTGTAAAAAATTAATAATGTAGCAATTAGTTTTGACAAAATATGAATCTATTGCAACAAATTTAGCTCTCTTTGTAAACTTCTTTAAGTGGTTCACATGGCTGCGTAGTTAGAACGTGAGCTTTCTGACCAAAGATCCGGGTTCGAATCTCACTATAGGAGTAACTCCTTGATAATAACAAATTGCCGAAATGTTAGAAAGGTTCTGAAATTTTGAGAAAATAAAGAAGAAAGCTCCAGATTCATAGTTTCTTTGTTTTTCACATTGAGAAAAAAAATCCGGTTATTAAGACTACCTCCTTGTATTACGCGCACATGAGTACCAGCAACAATACAACGTCAGGATGACCAGTAGTGGGACTAAGGTCTCAAAGAACTGCAGCTCTTTGCTCGGCCTTTAACAGATTTTTTTTTTTTTTATTTCGATCTGCGCCATTGTATGGGTGGAAAACTTGCCTGGAAAATCAGCATTTGAAATTATTTTTCTACCCCTGTACACTGAATGTTGGCACAGGAAATGAATAACTAAGGAAAAATTAAATGAAAAATTTCTCTCATCAAGCCAACAGTAATTTACAGTAAAGCTAGGAAAACTTAAATTCTTGGAAAACTAAGAATGAAAAATGTGACACCGGAATCCGAACGCATATTGGAATAAACATAATTGACTTCCAAATCTAAGCAAAGTATTTAAAAAAAAAAAAAAAAAGGCTTATTTTATTATTTTACATATAACTACAGACTACTTGATATTTTAGTCTTCAATTATCTTTCATTGGTTGATTTTCCGAAGCCCTATTGGAATAGCAAATGGTGCTTTCGAAAAGTTAAGCAACGTATTAAGACACAGGATCGTTAGAGTACTGAACTGCTATGTAATATCAGTCCTGCTATATGGCAGTGAATGCTGAACAATTTCCTCACAAATGAAGAGATCGCAGGCAACAGAAATGTTTCTACAGAAGGATGCTGAGAATAACATGGACGCTGAGAATACTGTTTTTCTTAAGACTTACTCGTAGGCCGCAAGTAAGTCTTAAAAGAAAATGGAAATACGAAGGATATTTATGCTCTGAACCAGAAACAGTTGAAATTTCTTGGACACATAATGAGGAAAGAGTTGGGAAAATTTGATGCATACAGGGCATATCGATGGTAAAAGAGACAGGGTCAAGGAGCGAGCCACCTACCAGAGGAACTTTTGTGATTGGATGGCGGGACAAGTGCTGGGAGGGATGATAAACCAACAAATCAATTACCAATTGCTATAAAATTGTGGAGAGTTATGATCGCCCACGTCCTGAAGTAACACGGCACATAGATGAATCACCAACATTTTTGTCAAAGAAATTTTGGTATTTTAGTAAATAAAAACAATCAGCTGCAACGAATGGATTTCAGGAAGCATTACATTTAGAAATTATCTTTATATTTCTTGTTCTGTGTCTATTAAAAAATTTAAAATGCTTATTTTATTTCCATTTCCTCACTCTCACTTGTCTGATTTCTTTCTTCCATAAATTCCTCTCGCCGTTCCCTCTTCCTCCACTCAGTCCTCCCCCTCTCTCTCGCCGTTCCCTCTTCCTCCACTCAGTCCCCCCCTCTCTCTCTCGCCGTTCCCTCTTCCTCCACTCAGTCCCCCCTCTCTCTCTCGCCGTTCCCTCTTCCTCCACTCAGTCCCCCTCTCTCTCTCTCTCGCCGTTCCCTCTTCCTCCACTCAGTCCCCCCCTCTCTCTCTCGCCGTTCCTCTTCCTCCCTCAGTCCCCCCCCCTCTCTCTCGCCGTTCCCTCTTCCTCCACTCAGTCCCCCCTCTCTCTCGCCGTTCCCTCTTCCTCCCTCAGTCCCCCCCTCTCTCTCGCTCGCCGTTCTCTCTTCCTCCACTCAGTCCCCCTCTCTCTCTCTCTCGCCGTTCCCTCTTCCTCCACTCAGTCCCTCTCTCTCGCCGTTCCCCACTTCCCATTTTCGCTTCCTCTCTTTTCATTTTCTCTTTCTTGCTGTTTTTCCATTCTTTCTCCTTTGTAATACTACTAATTTCTCTTTCTTTCTTTATTTCTCTATATTTCCTCTTATCTCCTAATCATTCCCTCTTTTGCCCTCCTTCCGCTTCCTTACACCCACTCTTTGCTCTTCCGTCTTTCACCCACTTTCCTCCCCTACTTTTAATCCGCTCTCTATTTTTTTTTTTTACTCTTTCTTTCTCTTTCAAGTCCGCTAAAGTTTCAATTAGAAGATAATCAAATTTTCTTAGTTTTTGTCTTTTGTAAAGACAATTCGCAATTCATAGCATTTACTTCTCACTGTCGCAGGTTATTTGAAAAGCTGTCAAACTAATACAGATACATCTCCGGCTGCTAATTTACTTTCTCTTTTTTTTGTTTTAATTTTTTTCTTAACAAGGTAAGTCTTCATTTTCTTTAATTAGACACTTTCATGTCATTCTGTACTCATCAACGTTGTTTATTTCGCCTGTAAACATAACCTTGCACCTTTTATCATCAGGCTTAAATATTACTCAAGTTTTTTGTGCATTCATCGTTTTTTGTTTCTTTTTAATCATATTTATTTTTTCGGTTCGTGTTTTAATGACTGGTGCCACATTCTTCGGAGAAAATCCTATAGAAACTTTCGCAAAACAATTTACACTCCCATACATATCTGTCAGCGCGCATACACGCCGTCTATCATTTAGACGAAGACATGTCCACGCGAAAAAATATGCACTTTCTTAATTACAGATATACATGCATACACGAACTGGTCAGCGGCCGAGAAGTGGAAGTTACTAAATTATCACCACAGACCATTGCTACCAAGTTCGGCATTCATTAGTCTTGATCAGCTTATTCTCCGCTTGCAGTGCCATCTCTCTTCAAGGACGTAGGCGATTTAAGATTCCATTTCTGTAATGTCTGAACAGTGCATTACTATGAGAGTACCTGGGGAAATATTGGAATCGTTTTTCCGTTTCCCTTTCCACGGTTTTGAATTAAAAAAAAAACTGTCCTTCTCCTAGACTGGTTGCCACCCACGGTTAGATATTCCAATCCGCTTTACTATTTAATCCATAGCGGTAGTCGATTCATATTCTTTCCCCAGGGCATCAGTACAAAAGATAGCGAACACAATTTGAACTCCTTGCCAATTCCGTTTTCTGTTCACTTAACCGTTTATCCAAACGCACCTCCTTACTTGTCTAGACAACCGTATTCTTGAATCGATAAAAAAAAAAAAATTATCACATACAGGTACGTAGGGAGGAGTTAGACCTTATATACAACGAAGCTGAGCACGTGTGTAAAAACGCTGGCGGATAATAAAATTCACAAAACAAAAATTATCACATATACAGATCAATACGTATACAGAATCCAAAATACGGAGACCCTATATAGCACACGTAACTCGACGAGAACGAAAGAATCAAGATTCTAACGATCCACACTACTTCAAATAAAAAGGTTAGGAGGGAAAACCCCATCAATAGTGGAAAAACTATAACGGATGCTGAACTTAAAAAATATTTGTCTGTAAAATTGTTTTAAGAGAAAGATTTTATAAAAATTTAAACCTACAGCAATACTGGTTGTTCATTCATTGAATGTCAAATGGTTCATGGTAGAAAAATGGCTAATATTACCATATAAACACACTGTATATCCTGCTTTGGCCATAAAACGCTTCAAAGCCGGCACGCGATCGTACAGCTGGCGTTACAAGACTACGATCGCATTATTATACGCTTCTTCCACATATTGATATAATACAACAAAAGTTGGAGGCGAACTTACTGATCCAGTCAGTGATCATCCCATTACATCTCAGACATGTTCAAAGAGGAATAGATTTGACGATCGTGTTAACATCTTGCAGGGCATGTTGAGTAGTATGGACATGTTGCAGATTAGCATTTTCCTGCTGGAACAGAACATCACCTTTCTATTGCAGGAAGGACAATGTCCTGGGCATACATAGCGCTGTTCAACGTTTTCTTCATAAACATTAAAGGTGAGCGAAAATTCTAAGTTGTGAATAGCCATCCTGCAAAGGTTTGAGCCAGTTTTTCGTGCTCGAATACAACACTAGATCTTTACGTCGCACAAGCAAATGACCATCACTTGCATGAATGCATAAACTGTTCTTATCACTGGACACTACAGGCAGGTAACGATACCCAAAGTAACCTTACAACACCATCGTACACGTCTTCTGTGGGAGAAGACGAGTACGATGGTGTTGTGGTGCAAGTAGAAATCTGGCGGAGATACGCACCAGTACTTCTCTCTCTCATATATATATATATATATATATATATATATATATATATATATATGTGTGTGTGTGTGTGTGACAGAGAGCAACAATTAAAATTAAATATTCAATTTATCTGTTCCTATTCGGTGTTTCTTGGATAAAGAATCCACTTGCCAGCAGCCTTGATGGTAAATTAATTTGTCGAAACACTCATACACACACATTATATATCATGTATTCAGTTAATGCATTTTGCGCCGCTGTGGTCACGACTCCCCTCCACCTCACAATTGTGGTTCATGGTAACATGGAAGACTGCAATAACTTGCCGGTTCCTTTTGCACATGGGATTATGAGGTTAACCCATCCTTCCTCTCATATGTTAAAAACAAAATAAAACAAAGCAAAAAATATCAGGGCCTACAAGACAGCGGGTAGTTTGAATTCAAAGATTTCCTTCTCTTAAATTGGTTGCCAACCAATGCTATATGGCCCAGTCAGTCTTGCTATTTTACTCATAGCTGGTGGAGGAGAGATAGATTCATAACTTTCATAAGAGTATTAGCGCGTAAGCGAATGTAATTCTAACTGATTCCTCAATGAAAGCCGCTATCCATTTCTCTCTAATATACTCAAATATATTTGTATTGCTGCGTAAATATATCTGCGTATATCTATTGTGTTGCATGTAATAATATGTACCTATATATACTTATGTATGAAACACACATATATATATATATATATATATATATATACACACCACATTGAATGATCAGGTACGCATAAGTATAAAGGATCTAAATTCAAACCACTCAAAGAGGTAATGAATGATATGACAGGCCACAGCTTGTGTCGATAAGATCCGTTTGTAACTTATTTGAAGTGAACTAGGAATAGTGCAATGGATAGCAATGGGCTTATTGGATCAACTTCCAATTTTTCTCTAATTTTTAAAATCCCAGAGGAGTTTGAAATTTACTGTCCATACATTGAATATTGCTGCCACATATAGTCTGGTGCTTCTGTTATGCATTTAGAGATTCTTTACAAAATCCAAAAACGAATCTGCAATATTGTCCTGACCTGGCATCTCAATTTCAGTAAGTTTCCCACCGCCATAACAGTTTCCCTTTGCCTTTTCTATAAACATTTTCATAGTATATAACCAAAATACTTCTCGTATTTTTTTTACGTCATATGTAAAGAAATGATTACTGATACAAAAATGAGTGAGTTCCGTGCCAGGAAAGAGGTGGAACTGGGAGCATTGGTCTTGACCAATGCAAGTGCATTGTGCACACACATCAGTCATAGCTCGAGCAGCGGCGAGAAAAAATGTTCAATCTAGTCCAATTACATACTACCCCGCCCAGGGATTGAACTCGCAATTACTATGTCATCAAATTAAGAACGAAAGCTTTAATCTATTGTCCCATATCCTGGAAACGGGCGAGCAATAACTGAGCAGTACTTGAAATAAGAACTAGATGAGAAATCCCTAGACATGGGCAGTGAAACGAGAAGAGTCTATCCCGTAAATTAAATAAAGGGCTCAGTTCAGAATTCCTAATAGGTTACCCAAGTCGATATCCAGATGAAGGCCAGAGGAAATTATGGCTGAAATGTTGTGATTCTATTTATGATCAGACATTATTTCTTATCTCTTTGGCCGTTATATTTAGTGAAAGACGAGTTTAAGTAGACATCTCTGATGGTCACCGGGAAAATAATGCTTCCTATTTTATCATATTAGATCATGAGAGAGAAAATAATATCATGACAGTAGAGGAGGAACCTCATAGCTAATAATCCACTTTTTGCCTTCTTACAGATAGCAATCTGCCAAAATCGCTAATGACATGAAATTGCGTACGAAACAGATGTGTGTCATTGAATTCCTGCACACACTGATATACATCAACCATTGCTATATATTTTTGGAGACTAAACAGTACTTGAGAGCACAGTAAGGAGGTATGTAATATATTAAGGCATTAGCGACAATGTTATGTATGGCAAGCCACGTTCCCAGCATATTAAAACTCTTGATTATCTTTGGCGAAAGTACATTGCCGATTTTTTGTCGCTGAAAATTTTGTGTATTTTGTTTCTAAGCAAATACATGATAGTTTGGCGTCGTATCCACTGGATTCGACAATATGGATTATCACTGTCTAATCCAGAGACTGGAACACACAACTAGAGGGTAAACAGCCATCACAATGTCCGACAGAACAAAAATTCATTTATCTGCGATAAAGCATTGCAAATCTTATCATTTTTGTTGAGACTTAATGTTGCTTTAAAATATTTCTTACGCCATGATTGTGCACGATAGAATATTAAATGCTAAAGATGGGTTACGAGATGGACTTACTAACCATGACCAAAACACATACAGTATAACCCTTAAACAAAATGAAAATGTTGCACAAAAGTGCAAACCAAATACAAAACGAGAAAGTGCATTTTAAAGCGTATTTTATGCTTATTTTTACTTTAATTATATACAGAAATATTTTAACTTCTTAGACTATAAAATAAAGAAAACAAAATGGAAATAAGACAAATGTTAATTTCCGAAATTCGATAAAATACTCCAAGAAATGACGAATCCTAGAGTTATCAATTAACCAATTTAGACTCAAATCATGAATGAATGATGCCCGTAGCATTGGCAAAAGTTTAAATCATCATCTGATATTCCTTGATGTATTCTATGCAGAATTTCATTGTGCCTTCTTTGCACCAAATTGTCACCATTTCTCGCTTCTTTTCTCTTCGAGAAGTATGCATGAAGACACAGCCCTATGTTTGGTTTATTCCTATTTGCAGGAAAATACTCCAAGAAATGACTTAACCTGATGAATCCAAGAGTTATTAATTACCCAATATAGACTCAAATCAGGAATGAATGATGCCCGTAGCATTGGCAAAAGTTTAAATCATCAATTGATATTCACCGATCTCCAATGAAACA